ATCTCTTCTATACACTGCATTCCACGGATAATAGGCAAATTGATAGACAACATAATCAGACTTATTCAAGATGTGAAACTATTGAGGTAAAACTAGACAGTTAGCACCGCAAAACTTGATTGCGAGTGAAAGTATATCATTATCAGCCATGAAATTTCAATCCGTATAAAATTACCAATGGATGTTTTTTCAATCTTTTGCAATACCATTACTTTGTGGATAAGACTTCATGATTGGTAGAATAACGAAAAGATTGAAAGTGATCTATCCAATTTTATGACAGACATAGAGCAGAACTGCTATGTGTGTTCAGTATCTGCGTTAGCATCGTAAAAAGAGCGGCAATAAGGCTTAGCAATCATATCTATATAATTAAAGTTTCTAGTGTGGTGGTATAGCTTCACGATTTAGATCCAAATTGTTTCAAATACTTTACTGTATTGCCATAAATCGATTTTAATCCATTTTTGAGCCCGCTGTTGCAATAATTCATACTTTATCGATATATAATTAATACATTATCTACAGGTACTCTATAACTAGTCTATGCAAAGAGACCAGTGGTAATTTATGGTAGTTAATAATAAAAATACCCTCCTATCTTATATCCCACAGTAATATTTTACGATTCCTAGGAGCTAGGTAATTAAGTCAACAGTGATTTCAAAACTGAGCATTTACCTCCGCCATTATCATAGCAAAGATATGGAAATCGCCATAAGTTTCCAAATCCAACAGCATATCCTATGCAAGATAGAAAAAATTCGACTTTTTTGTCCCATTTATCGCGTTTTACGGGTGTATTTTCATCGCTAGCATTTAGAATTTGTTTTCCTTCTAGGTCCATTTTATTATCCTTTTGGGAAGACATGTTATTGAAAATAGAGTTTGTGATTCGAATTCAAAGAGTCTTCTATGTTGAACTAGAATTAATCAAACCTCAGCTACCGCCTATGATGGAGTATCTTCAGTCAAAGTCTGGACATAAAATTAGTCCTGGATGAAAAATTTTTGTTTGGCCTAGCTTTGACAACGTAGTCTGAAGGGCTGTTGCTATTATCCTTTCCTACTCCTATGTATTGTCAATTTTGACCTTCTTAGCCGGACTTATTAAGCCAATTATCTTAAAAAAAGGAAGTTCTAGTAAATTAAGGCTATTATTCAATAGCAGTATGGCGACCGGTGATCATTTCTCTAGAGACATCAAATAGGATATTAGTATTGCA